GCCAGGCTGGGTCATCACCCACGGACTCTGCAGGCCCGGCCCGGGTATTCGCCGTGCAGGCCGGAAGATGAGACTTGCGCACAGTTTGTCCACACGGTGCCCACAGGTCGGCCTCTGGGCCGCTGCGCTGCGTCTGCACCGGCTTTGCCTGTCTCACGGCCTCTCAGCTGCTGGTCCTGCCCGCTACACCGCGTGGGTGGGTGACCGAGCTCCCCGGGAGACGATTCCCACACTCACCGGGGGCCTGGGGCAGGACTGAGGGTGGGGAGCCCGCGCCCTGGGCGAGAGCTGAGGGCGACCGTTCCCGTTCCCGACAGCTGCGCGCATGACAGGACGGGGGAAAGAAAACAAAACAGAAGAAGGGATCACGCTACCTTCTCCGCCTGCCGCATCCATCAGGTCAGAATCTGAAAATCCACCTGGAAAGAAAAGGTTCAGCGTGACGGGCCGTGCGGGGACTCCACGTGGAGGAAAAATTGCACGAGAAGCACACGTAGCTCGTGACCGGTGGAACGGGCGCTCGGCCGGGGAAGGGATCTCTGCGAGACGGGGCGGACATCCCCGCTCCGAAAACCTGAAATCCGAAATGCTCCAAGGTCCGCAACGCTCCGTGCGCCAGCGTGAAACCTCTAGTGACGGATCACACCTGCGGGCTACGTGTCCGAGGGGTGTGTGACACACGCACGAGCGTCACATCCGGACGCGGCTCTCGCTCCCGATACGGCAAAGTTCAGGACAAAACTCACACGTGAGAGACGCCTGGTCACCCGCATTTCACAGAAGAGAGCACAAGCTGGAAAACGAACGCCCCTGCCGTTTCAAAGCTCACCCGTTTGGTTTTACCAGAACCTCTGCAGGAACCCTGGGAGAGAGGTCAGAAAAAGAACCCGGAGCTGTGGAGTTACTTTTCCGGTGAACGCAATTAAATGCCCAGATCGTGACGTCCAAACCAGAACCACTAGAAACAACACGCTGGGGATGTTTCGTTATCATATTTAATCTACCGATTCATGTTTCAGCCTATGTGCTGCTGAAACGAGCAAAATCTATCAATGGACGATCACCCCCTGGGCCTGATTAGAGCTACATGATAAAAGAAAGGAGGCGTTTCATGGAAACTTAGCCTTTTGTTATGTAAACTGTCCACAGTCACGGATTAAAAGAAAAAAAATAATAAGATAGTCACCTGTATTGATGACCCCCGGATGAAACATAATTTCTTTTTTCTGTGCTTAAGAAGAGAAAGTGATTGAAAATAGAAAGATACTTTGTAGCTGGACATGGTGGTACGCACCTGAAAGCCCAGCACTCGGGGAGGCTGAGACAGGAGGATCTCGAATTCAAACCTACAATGTAATGATTTAGCGAAACCTTGTGTCAAAATAAGAAACAAAACGGAACAAACAAAAAAGACTGGGGATGTAGTTCAGGGAGAAAGTCCTAGGTACTGATCTAAGAAAAAACAGAGAAAAGGAAGGAAAGAAAGAAAGAAAGAAAGAAACTGACCGAGTTCCTGATCTGCCGTTTTTAAAAAAGACAATTTCTGGGCCGGGGATTGAGCTCAGTGGTGCCGCTGCCTGCCTCATAAGCACAACGACCCGAGTTTGATCCCTGGTACCAATAAGTTAATTAACTAATTAATTAAAAAGACAATTTCTTTTGTGTAAAAAGGAATCTCTTCACACCCTGCCTTAAATTCAGGAATGAAAATCACCCACTCCCTCCTCAGGGCCTAAGTTTTCTGGCTAAAGCGAGACAACAAAAATAGGACTGAATTGTAAAGAGAACACGTAAATATGGACAAGGAGGAAACTTTTAAAAAGCTGCCTATAATGTGTCTATCTCGTCAGAAAAGCTAAGAAATGAAGAGGAAGTAAGAGGAACTTTATGTGTTACTCCGCAAGATGGACATTGGGGAAAAAAACATATGAAAATCCTTTCCATATGAAAGCAAGAAACATGTTAAACATTTTTTTAGAAGTATTCAGATAAAATATAAGCAGCAGAGTAACTTGGAAATACGCATAAACCCAAGACCAGAAGAGAAGAATTTGTGTCCCAGAGAAAAGCCTGGTTTTCTGCAAGATGTAAAGCAACTCACAATTGTGAACAACGCCGGTGAAAATAAAAAACCAGATTTTATTATTTTCCCCAGAGCGAGAAGAAAATCAACCACAAAATGATTCACAAGTTATGAGGAGAAAAATAAAAACCACGAAAAATAAAATGTAGAAAAGTCACCCGAACACGGGAAGGGTCACTGAAGGAAGGGATTTCAAGTGCTTCTGGTCACGAAATATTGTTTCTAATACTCAAAGGAGACAATGGAAAAGTATTTTTGTAACAAATGGCCGGTCACAGTTTGTATCCATGCAAACTGAGGTATCCAAATGTGGAGCTTTGTGTAATTCTTTTCTGTTTCGAGACAGGGTCTCACTGTGTAAATCAGGCTGGCCTTGAGCTCTCTATGTAGCCCAGGCCGGCCGGTGATCCTCCCGCCTCAGCCTCTGGAGTGCTGGGAAGCCAGACTTGCGCCACCTGCTGGGCTGTTTTGCTTTGTTGGAAATCCCCCATCCCCACAGCAGGCGGCAGGATAAACTAGAACAATTTGCAGATGATTGGGAAGGGAACTCGAAGACTACAAGGGTAGCCGTAGGCACACAAAATCTGCCTCCCGAATTCCTGTCAGTTTTTTTTTTTTCTTGGTATTTTTGACACAGGGTCTCACTGTGTAGTTGAGACTGACCTAGAACTCACTATGTAGCCCAGGCTGGTGTCGAACTCAAAGCGATCCTCCTGCCTCGGCCTCCCAAGTGCTCGGATGACAGGCGTGCGCCACCACGCCCGGCTTCCTCACAGATTTTATTCTGCTCTGTACTTATTCTTTGGTTTTCTCGCAGAAGACAAACCAAGTAATCTTTAAGCTTGCGTGACTGATTTATTGCACTCAGCATTGCGGTCTCAAGATGCATCCAGGGCCGGGGATTTAGCTCAGCGGTTCGGTGGCCCGCCTTGCAAGTGCAAGGACCCGAGTTCGATCCCCGGGACTGGGATTAAAAAAAAAAAAAAAAAGACGCATCCATTTTCCTATATATGACTCAAGCTCATCCCTTCTTCGGGGCACAGCAATACTCCACGGTGTGTAAACACATTTCCCTTATCCGTTCATCCGTTTTTGGACACAGAGGTTGCTTCCTAGATGCAGCTGTTGTGAGTCGTGCCGCCGTACGCGTGGGTGACGCGACGCCTTCCACTCACGCAGGGAGGCACCGAGAAGAGCAGCGGAGTGGGACGGTGGCTTAGATGTGGCTCTGAAAGTTTCAGTGGCGTCACAGGACTGACAGCCTCGCCAACGCGAAGGACAAAAACACCGCACAGCAGGTCACTAGGTGCGCAGCCTACGGTTTGCCATGAAGAGTCACACGGCACCTGCCCCAGTGGCACCATGCCGACATGAACACGGTTCTGATGTTTTTACCCGGCTGTGGCAGTACACGCCGGGAGGGAGGCTGAGGCAGGAGGATCAAAAGCCAAAGCCTAACCTGGGCAACTTAGTAGCTTCGAGAAAACTTGTCTCAAAAATTTAAATCAAGGCCTTATATTCTATGTACTCATCTTTTTCCTTTTTCTAAATGGAGCCGGAAGCGGGCGCGGTGGCGCACAGCTGTCATCCCAGCTCTCGGGAGGCTGAGGCAGGAGGATCGCTGTGAGTTCAAGGCCAGCCTGGGCTGCACGGTGAGTTCAGAGCCAGCCCAAACTACAAGGGGGGGACTCTGTCTCAAAAAATAAATAAAAACAATGACCGTGGATAAACATCAGAGTGAACGGACATAGTCATTCCCCCGATCCGGTCAGTATACAATATACATAGCTATGAAAAACCTGGTACCGCACCTGCCTCGCAAGCACAAGGTCCTGTGTTCGATCCCCAGTACAGAAACAAGAAGCCTATCCCCTAAACTGCGTGCAATTACTCTGGGTATAGCAGAAAATGTGTATTTGTGGCCATGTACACACACTACGGAAAACATCGGTACTTTTATGTTAAAAACTACAGCAAAGATCTGAACCACAGAGTCCTAAAACCCTGAGGTTTGATCCCTTGCTCGGCACAGAAAAGGAGCACTGGTTGAAAGACACCGGACTGAGACAGGAGGATCCGGACACGTCCGAAGGCCAGGACCCGTGTCCACTTTACCCCTGCATGTTACCGTCCCAGGGAGTCCCCTTCCGGGTTCCACAGAGTCTCCCAAGGCAAACGGGCAAATGAACGATCAAAAGCGAGGCCCTCCGCTCACAAAAGCATCATGTTCAGCATGGGGTCCCCGCCCTGCCCGTGGGGGAGCCTGGGAGTCACCAGCTGGCGCGTCCCGGGGCACCACGACCTCCGTGGAACCCGGGTGTCCCCGACCTCTGAGATCCCCAAGGACCCGAGGGCTCACCGGAGGATCCGGGGTGGTTGGGCTGCGGGTGAGGCTGTGGCTCTCGCTGTTTCGGTGGCACCGGGTCGGCTGTGGGCGAACAGAAAAGGGCCTCAGCGGGAGCGGGGTGCGCAGGGCAGCCACAGAGTGGGCCCGCGAACCCCACTCCACAAACCGGATGGAGAATTGCAAGGTGACGGCAAAGAAGAAAAATGAAAGAAGAAAAAAAACCCAAGAGCAAACACCACCCCTGAGATCCCACTGGTCCCCAAGACAAACATTTCCACTGCGTAGATGAGAGCCACCCTTAGGGATCACCAAACACTGGGGTCTCAAAGTGAGGGCTTTTAGAAGATACTCACGGTCTCCTCCTCCACCCAGAGCGTCTTCTAGGGAGAAGTCGTTCCCTGCAACGGCGAAACGGGGGGTTAGCACCACATCTCGTGAGGAAAGACAGAAGGACACGGGCCTGCCGCAGGCGGGAGGCACATCTGTCCTCTCGGAATGCGGCCTGACCAGCGTGTCCGCAGAAAAACCGAAGCTCCGACCGTTCCTATGTCATCTTCCTCTCCGATGAAAAGCAGGAGGCGTCAAAAACAACAATATTTACGCATCGATCGTACGTCCGACAGCCAGCTGCAATCCCAGCGTGCTCACAGATAACCTTTTCCACCGATTCCCACCAGCTTATTAGAATTCCGGCCCCAGGTCACCCCCAAATCCGAGATCCCAAGAGGTCGCGGCAGAAAATGACATCGAGATTTGGGCCCCACAGCACCAAAAAGAACTGCTCAAAAATGCAGCCGGCAGGAGGCGCCACGCTCCTGAGAATCACACGTACAAGTTCACAGCTTTGCCCAGGTCCTGTTTGAGTGCGAGCTCAGTCTTTCAGCGAGTGCTTATCAAGCGAGTAGAATGGACCCTCGAGTTACAACCCGCCTGGCATATAAGCCACTTAGGTCAGGACTGGAATTTTAGTTTTAACTTATAACCGAAGCCTTCAGTTACGACCCGAGTGCCGGCCGCCTTCCAAGATGGTCTGGCCCTGGGGCAGCCGACCACGGACTGAGCCCCCCGAGACCCCGGGGGCAGCCGACCATGGACTGAGCCCCCCTCCCCAGACCGTGAGCCTCCTCTAAAGCTGCTTATGCCAAAAACATAGCCCCAGCCTTGTGAAGCAAAACATTTAACACTGACAACAAACTGTACAGTGACATTAGTTCCCCGTACAGATTCCGGGGGGAGGGGGTGTTTCAGCTCGAAATACTGTTTTGTCCCCCAAAATGAACACGCCATCCCACAGACACCCGTTCTGGGGCGTGGACGGCCACGGTCACCAGCAGAGGCCGCGCCGATTTCACCGCACAATTCCAGTGTCACCCAGGGCCGTCCCTGCTCTCCAGTCTGTGGACCCCGCTCCGTCCTTCTTTGTCTTTATAAACTGGGGAAACCGGTTTCTTACCACCAGAGGGCTTCTTGGGGGCCACCGTGACTTTCTTGCCTTCATCTGAAAAGAAAAAAAACCAACGTGGTCAGGAAAAGCTGGCGGGGCAGAGCCAGCCCTGCTTTGTGTTTTCAAGGCTGCGTCACGATGGAGAAAGTGAAATGGGCAGGAGGAGGTGGGCTCGAGGGCCAGCGCGAGGGCCAGCACGCCACAGACCACAGGAGGCGTCTGCTTCCACCAGCCCCCGGGGAAATTCCCAGCCCCCGACCTCAGTGTTTTTACTGGGTCCTTGTGAACCAGAGCCCAAAAATCTCTCAAAAACAACGGTCCAGGCAAAGCATAAAAGGCGTCGCCTGAAATACGTGTCCACTCAGAACCTCAGAATGGGAGCTGGTGTGGAAACAGGGCCCCTGCCGAGGGAGCTGGAGGAGGATCCGGAGATGAGACCGTCCTGCCTCAGCCTCCCGAATCAAACGGGAGTATCCTCAGGACAGACAGAGGAGGGGACACAGACACAGAGGAGCGGCCGCACGGAGATGGACGCAGAGACTGGAGCGATGGGGCCACAGCCCAGGGCCACCTGGAGCCCTGGCAGGAGGCAGAGGCAGGAGGGTCTCCCCGGAGCCCGTAGAGGAAGCTGAATAGAAGTGTAAGAATGATGGGTAAGTATGTTTAAAGTGAGGATAAGTGTTTACGGTCATGTGTCTTTTACTGCAATAATTTTGACAAATATTTTTAAATTCCCCGTATGGTTCAATCATACCTGACACTTTCTGTACTCGGATAAAAGTACCCCCAGGTGTTTTTTTAAAGTAGTAAAGTACTACTCACCAAGTGCATCTAATAAACTCAAATCGCCACCTACAGGGGAAGAAAAAGAGCCAAGTTAGAAAGAAGGAAAATATAAGCAAGTTTCAGCAAATCTGAAGATGAAAATGGCCTATTTTATTTATTCTCACTTTGTGAGCTGTGCAGCTTTCTGAAGCTCACCGTGTGAGGTGATTTCGATTCTGTTCCTGATTATTTGTGTTCACCTAAAAATAAGATGTTGACTGTAAAAAAACAATGACCCCAAGAATTTAGAGGAATTAAAACAGCGCGGGGGGTTGTTAAAAGTTTGTACGTGTTTTTCTTCACCAGCAGTATTTACAACAGATAATAACTCCTAGAGATAGTAGAAAAAAAACTGGAGATAACTTCGTCCCTTGTATTAGCGACTTTTCTAAATCCCAAACATACTTTTTTACAGAAACATTAAAGAACCCCCGAGACGTTATCTATTTATAGGGAGGAAAAATCTTATGGGAACCCACAGGGTGAGGACCACTGTGAGGAGCCCGGCGTCTTCCTCCTGCTGGACCTGGCATTTGGTTTCCACATCGTGGCTGTTCACAAAGTGAAAGGAACGGGCCACAGATGTCTGCTGGACACAATGACTCCCTCTGCTTTAGTTCACACCCAGGGCAGAAACGGCTACGGGAGCCTGCAACTGTGTCCAGCTACTCGGCTATCTGTTCCCGACGTGCAGGATTCGCCAGTGCCCACTTTCCCTAGAGGCAGAGACGCGAACCGATCCCGGGAACATCCCGTACAGGATAATGTCCTCCAGAGGGGAAAGGGGACACTTAGAGAAATAAGCAGTCGAGCTGGGCGGCGCACACCTGTAAACCCAGCACTCTGGGAGGCTGAGGCGGGAGAGCCTCAAATTGGAGCCCAGCCTGATGGAAAACTCAGTGAGACCCCGTCTGAAAATAGAGAAAATAAATAAAATAAAACCAAAGGGCCGGGGATGGAGCCCAATGCAAACTTTCTGGACTTGTTGCTCAGCAACACAAAAAGCAGAGACAGGGGTTCACATCTGCAATCCCAGCCCTCTGGGAGGCTGAAGCAGGAGGATCACCGTTCATGCCCAGGTCGGGCAACTTAGTGACCCGGGGAGACCCTGTCCCAAAATTTAAAAAGAAAATTTTGTTTAAGGGCTGGGAATGCAGCTCAGTGTGAAACCTTTAGATCCAAACTTCAGTGCCACGAAAAAGTAAATAGGAATAAAGGTAAAATAAGAGTGAGGCCCGGAAATGAGCTTCAACTCCAATCAGCACAAAAAAGAAAGGAAAGGGGGGAAAAAGGAAAAAGAACTGCGAAAGACCTTCAGAACGCCACACACACACACACCCGCGCACACACACACACATACACACACACACACACTCACACACGCACCTGGCAACAAGGATTTTGTGAAACCTTTAGATCCAAACTTCAGTGCCACGAAAAAGTAAACAGGAATAAAGGTAAAATAAGAGTGAGGCCCGGAAATGAGCTTCAATTCCAATCAGCACAAAAGCACCTGGCAACAAGGAGGGAAAAACCTCCCCCTTGCAAAAAATAGAGATTTTAGCACCGCTGCCTTCTAATTCCTGTCCTTCTGCCTCAGAACAGGACTGAAAGTAAGGAACGTGCGTTAACCGGAAGCGCCCCACTCCCACGACGACCTCCCCACCCCGCGCTCCGGTGCTCGCCGTTAGTGATTAAAGGAGGAGGGTGTGGCGGTCACCATGGAGACAGCACGGCCACACCCGCGGGCGGGGCCCAGGA